TATCACAATAATCTTCCAATTTAGAACTACAAGTTAAAAAGAACTAACATAAATAAAATACACTTCAGCTAAATACTTCTAATTTATTTTCCCAAACCACGTGGAGCTGCACTATAAGGACTAAAGAGCCGTATGCGGCTCCAGAGCCGCAGGTTGTCCACCCCTGGCATAACACAATGCAGCAGCAGAACGTTGTGTACTTGTGAAGTTTTTCATCTTATCTCCTTTTTTCCCCTTTGACAGCAGATCTTTTAGTAATATGATGCATATGATGACATTTTCTGTTGTAAAAAATGAATAAATAAAAACTCTTTTTTTGGATTTCTGGATAATCCTGTGTCAGATTTTATGAGGAAACACTCCAAAAGCAATTTGGAATGTTTGTGTATGTTTGTAAAGAGCTAGTACTCATTTAGTCAGGTCATCAGTCAATATGGGAATATTTCACTTTTGTTTTAATTAGACACTTTTGTGGAGCAGAGTGTCATCAGGGCAGCATCTGTCTACACTGAATGACTCCCAGGTGACATCCCATATTGAGGTTAATGTGTGTCCTTAAGCACATGTGAGTGTTTAGAGCTGGCAGGTTGTAAAATGGAAAGTGTCTCGGAAATGTGTGCCATCACCTTGAATCAAAGTAGCTACCACGGGCATAATATGTGTCCTAAACAACCTTTAAAGCCTTTAAATTTGAAATTGGTTGACATTTATGATGATTTAGCTGTGCTTCTTCTTGGTTACAGGATACAGACCTTCTGGATATAGCATACATAAAAGATGCCAGAAACGGAAAGTGCGCGAAAACGCCAAAGGTAAGCCTCTAATTCGCACATTCACAGTGTCTTATACTGTCTGTGAAGGAAACTCCAGCAATACAATGACCAATGTGCTTTCTTGGCTGACGATATGCTTTGGAAGAGTTTATTTTTGCACTGAAATGAAAGCCATGTGTGGGCGTGAACCTGACTATGATTCACACTCTGTCTCCATCCATCTAACAGAAACTCTATTGTGGATTGGGCTGAACTTTGTTCTGGTTCTTCTAATGATTGATATTTAACAATAGAGCAATCGTGCGTGTGCAGATATGGCAGTACTTTAGTGCCAGAGGTGTAATTACTGTAATTATCTTGTTTAAACTTCCGATCTCACATTCAGGTGACTGTTAATTTATGTGTGTATATATGTGTGTGTGTAACTGATCGAATGCGTTCACAGTCTGAACACATTTAGTTTTTGACAGTGATTTGAAGATGAAGGTAAGGAAGTGAAGATCAGATGACACTGACCAGACTGACGAACGTGATTTGAATTCAGTAACATTGCATAGATGGTTTCCTAATTTGGTATCCAAATGGACTATTTCGAAACTAATGAGAAAGCCGTTGAATATAAGCAAAGAATTTGTAAATTCATTTTTTAAAAGTCTGGCACACAACTATCACAGAATTTGGCACATTGTTGTGCTGTTAAAAAAAGCCATATTAAGTTCTTGCACTTCATTTCCCACCTAACAAGTGATGATTAAAACAATGATGCGCCTTCTCTGCTGCTTTACAATACATCCCTGCGTTATAGCTCAGATTCAAATAGCTTTTGAATCAAGTCAGTCTTGTGATGAGACGCTTCATCAGCTTGATTCTGTGCAGCGGGAGAAGCGAGGTTCGGGGTCATGCTTTGCTGCTCTGTCTGGGGAGTGAGTGATGATAGAACGAGTACAATAACGCGGAGAGTATTCATGCATTTCTAAAAAGCTTACAGAGCGATGCTACCCAGCAAGGAGACATGACCACATGACAGGTAAGACGGTCGAAGCATTGGAAATCCATTACTGGGAGATGGAGTGGTGATGCACCCTGGCCAATGTAATGGGAGCACCAGTGAGACACAGTGTCTGAGAAGTTGATGAGATGGGGGGAGGATGGAAGGAGAGAAAGAGGGAGATGGGATAGTCATAAGAGGAAGGCAGGAGGGTTTTTAAAAAAATGCAAAGTCTGCAGAATGTGTAAAAAAAAGAAAGAGATGAACAGAAGAGGGGCAGAGACGTGATGTGAGGTCAGCAGAAGATGTCAGTGGGAAACAGATAACACCAGACAGCAGTTGCTTTAAGTGGACAGCGCTTGTCAGGGCTTGCTTCTTGAGCATTTCTCCTTCAACTCCTTCACATCTCTCTCTCACACTTCTTTCACCTTCTGTCAAAAAGATGAAGGTTTCGTGAGGCTCACTGAACCGCTAACTTCATCTCGAAAGAAACGCTCATAAGCTGCGTTTTTGTAATGTAAATATATGCAGACATGTGGAGACATTCACCACGAAGCTAAATGCGATACACGAAGCACCCTCGTTTATGCTGTGAGGTAACTGAGTGCTGTAGATACACGGAGAAAATCATTATGACCACTGATAGTGATGTGTCAGTGCTCTCTGGCTAAGGTTGTGCACGAGGAGGCAAAATAAGGAAGAAGTACAAGTGAAAGGAATTTCATATTACCGCCAACTTTTCAGTTTTAACCTCGCAGGTCATAACGCTCATAAAACTCCCTCAACGCTCACTGTGTTGTTTTGATATTTTTATGCTCTGTGCTCTCTTAAGCTCGCGCTGCTTATTCTGGTCTCACTCAAGAGCTCCCTCAGAAGCATTCATTCATTAATCCAAACTGCAGCAAACAAACACACTCGCCAGGGCGAGATGAGATGCTGATGATGACACGTCAGGAAAAAGCTTCAGAAGTGCTTTCATTGTGCTGCTCGAGAGTTCTGCGTCTCAGATGAACATTGTCGGTCTCAAATGCAATCATTGTCAACAGACTGGCTTGAAATGGGCTACAGATGGAAAGGCTGTTTTTTTGCACGCCTCTTTTGAGCCCTTGTTTCTACTCCAGCTCGAGTTACCTCGTATTGTCTTTGAGCGGCGCTGGAATTTCTGTCTGATTGTCATTAAGATTTGGAGCACGTCGCTGTGTTCATTGGCTCGTCGCAGTGTGTGTGTGTGTGCGGGTGTCTGCGTGGGCAGCTTGTCTGACCTCTGATGAATTTATGCCACCCTGCCCATGGGCTTCAGCTACTCATGATGATTCATACATGTTTTTTTTTTGTAAAAAGCAAATAAATAAATAAATTCAGACTGAGAAAAGCGCACTATCGTTTGTACAATGTGCACATTTACAACTACTGACACAAATCCTGCACAAGAAGTTAGTAGAATAACAAAGCCAGACAAGCACAATGTCCTTTGTCATAGCATTCTCAGAGCGCTGATGCTAATTAGCATGTGTCCACCCCATCATCATTTAGGCTGATTAGATTGGGTGCTTGTCTGTGTGACAAGAGGCAACCTCTTTTTGATGGGTGGCTCCAGAAATAAATTACATACCCTTGGGTCAAGTGAGCAATGCGCAGCACTAATGACCACCCATTTTATATGCACACAAATAGCAGGCATATTTGCCTTATGCAATGCTAATAAAGGATGTGTGTGTGAACCAAAGCATTTACTGTGCCACTGAATTATTCAGCTATGATGTTGTGTTCAATCTGTAAAAATGGCCGAATATTTGACTTAAAACCTAAAGTTTTTTTGGATTATTTAATGCAGTACTGTTTTGTCAAGGTGCAAGCTCCAGTCAAGAAGCAGACTCTCACGCATGACCAGGCTGAGGCTGAACTGTGCACTACTCACAATTTTATTTCCACAAAAGCTAAAACCAAAAGCACAGGAAAACGGCACTGAGAAACTCTCCAGAGGGAACAACAATGATGGACGAGTTTCAGGGCGCAATCAGAGCCTCAGGAGGTGATCCATTGAGAGAGAGAGAGAAAGACGGAGGAGATGAGAGTTAGATCCAGCGGAAAACTGGTGGGTGAAATTGCACTTCCCAAAAGTGGGAAAAAAACAATGTTCAGGATCGCTTGTAAACAGATGGCTATTGGGTCCAGGAGGGGCATACTGGTTTGCTTCAGGCAGGTCACAGGAGGAAGGACAGGCAGGTGATGGAGCCGAGGCAGCTCCAAGGGAAGCTGTCCAAGAATGAACCAGCTTGACGAAACAGGTGAGTAGGTTATGATGGCAGCGGCTTTTCGGGCCTACTGGGAAACGTACTGGAAGAGGAGCAAAAAACAACATTGGCACACAAGAATACTCTACACAAAAAAGCTCATGAAGAGGCCTGATTACCACTCAGCTAAGCAGATGAAGATTGGAAGCCTGGGCTGCTTTTTAAGGCCAAGGAAGAACCGATAATATCTCCTCCCCAGTCTGCCCGACCCAACCTGGACCTGTGAGAGCAAGAAAACAGAAAGGCCCAAAACAGAAGTAAACCAGTGTCTATCAGGACAGTTTCAGTTAGGAAAACTTTAGTCAAAAGAAGTTTCTGGCTTGACTCTGAATGTAAGGAGTTAATCTGTGTATGTAGAAGGCAACAGAATTTCAGGAAACAGCAAAAGATTTGTGATTTTGGGGGGTTGGAATTTTTCACAGTTAATTACTATATTATCACAAACCAGCTTGAGTCCTTTTAATTTTAAACTGATAGCAGACAGATAGCAGGCTAACTGTCTCATTGACATTCTATGGCCATCTTGACGCACCAAAGTCGCTTTAAGGTTGGCAAATGACGGTCCCCATCTTCAAAGTAGTCATTTAAAAGGCAACAGGACGGAAGGTTCATTGCACAGGGTCGTAGTAATTATGGTCAAGCCAAGTGCTGTTTTCCCCAGTATCATAATAAAATACCACAGCCTGCTAATTTTGTATGTGAACAGTTATGTGATCACGTTTCATACCCCAAATGTTTTCATATGAGGCACAAAATCTGACACAACAAAAGAAAGGAGAGAACTTTATTTATTTGTGGAGTATTTGCTTTATTTCATGCATTTGCGGCAGCAGAGGTCAGAGGAAACTCTAAACTTTAGAAAAAACAAACCATAAGGTGGACTCTGGAGAGAAGTCAGCTCGGGCTCTTTCACATATTTGTTTATATTGTTTTGCACGTGTTAAGCCCTCGGTCATTATTACAGGTGCTTCTGCTCCAGACCGTCTATTCATATTGTTTCTTTATTAAATCAGCAGTTTAGCTTGCTCCTGCACAGTGTGTTCCTTCTCCTGAGCACAGAGCAACCCAGCTAATCACATCCGAGCTTTTGCGTAGACTTTACCATACAGCTAACTTCAACATAACCATGTTCGCATAACTTCTGCTTTCCATTCTGTCTCTTTGCACGCTGCAAGGGGCACATTGTGAGCCTTTCATTGTCCCCCCTTGGTTTCTGGAAGTGTTCTTCTGTCTGGATTGAAGACGAAAATGTAATTAGCATCTCACCATACAGTAGGTGTCTGACAGGCAAAATTACATGCTTTCTCTCCCTCCCTTTGACAACCAAACAAATATCCGTCTGTGAAATGCCCTGCCTGTAGAGTTCAGCCTGCAATATACATCCCGAAAATGGAAAAGTTTAATGATTTAGTGTTCTCCGGACTACATTTGCAGATCTTTCCATTTTTTATGACAAATTAAGACATCCACTGTCACACTGCAGGAGGCCAGAATTTGCAGACTGGATCTGGTCTGATAATTTAATATCCGTGTCTTAACCCAGCCTTAGTCTGACACGAGCTGCTTATTACTTTGCAGTGTGTTTCAAACTAGACACAGGGATCGCGTCCTTACCTATTTGTGGTGCATGCATCGTACTGATACTGACTGTGTATATAGCACATATTTAGATAGACTCACATATGGTCATCGGCACAGACAGAGGAGTTGTTGTCAGAATTTATTTATTTTTTTGTTGTGGTATTTGTGAATTTCAC